CAGCCAGCAAGAGCTGGACATGGGGGGTGTGGGGCAGTGTAGGCCAGGGCCAGAAACTAAGCATGGAGGAAGCCTAGTGCGGGGCAGGGCCAGCCATTGGACGGGGGCACAATGCGGGGCAGGGGCAACAGCTGAACACAGGGGGGCACAGTGCGGGGCGTGGCCAGAAGCAGGGCATGGGGGCACAGGGTGGGGCAGGGTCAGTACCTGGACATGGGGGGCACAGTGCAGGGCATTACCAGAAGCAGGGCATGGGGGCACAGGTGCGGGCATGGCCACAAGGAGGACTTGGGGGCACAGGGTGGGGTAGGGGCAGAAGCTGGACACGGGTGGGGGGCACAGTGCGGGGCATTACCAGAAGCAGGGCATGGGGGCACAGGGTGGGGCATGGCCACAAGGAGGACTTGGGGGCACAGGGTGGGGCATTACCAGAAGCTGGACACGGGCACAGTGCGGGGCGTGGCCAGAAGCAGGGCATGGGGGCACAGCGTGGGGCAGGGGCAGTAGCTGTGTACAGGAGGCACAGTGCCAGGCAGGGGCAGTAGCTAGGCACAGTGCTGGACAATGACAATATGAGGTACAGAGCTGGGACAGCAAGGGAAATGGGGTTCATGGTTTAGGGCAATGGGGTGGGCACAGGACTAAGGCATTAACAGCCGGCCACAGGGTGGGGCTCAAGTACAGGATCTGGATAACGGTGGGCAGGGTTACCATGGGAATGGAAAAGGTAGCAGCAGGCACAGAGCAAGAAAGACAGGAGTGCTGATGGGGCAGAGTATAGCCCTAGACGATACGGGGTGCAGGACTCCATGGTCAAGCGTGGATCATGCCAGTCTGACAGAGAGCCACAGATTGAATGAGGCAATCACCTTCGCACATGGTCTTATACGCACACCTAGGGTGCCCAGATGGTATGGGGCATAGCAAATAGTAGCAGGCATAGGAGAGATGCGATATGAAGAGCAGTCATCTTCCTGGAGTTTAATTGTGTGTATGTAAATTAAGCCCATCTTTCAAGATCCCATAAGTTTTAAGTATAGTAATGGGAAAGGCTAGGAGACGAACATCCAAAAATAAGGCAACTTGCTACTAATGTGTTATTGATGATTTAGTTTGCTGAAATGACACCCCACTTTGCAGGGCCCAAGAGCCAGGCTCCAGCCTGAGTCTAGAACTCTGCACAGCAATGAAACAGCCCTGCAGCCCTAGCCCGAGTCGGCCTGGCACAGACCAGCTCCGGGTTTTTCTTTGCTGTGTAGACATACTCTCTGTGTCTTTTAGCCTTGGAGCAGTGGGCTGTCTTATGTGATTTGTGCAACTCCATAATTCAAGTCTTACATATCTCTGCCAAATCCCCACAAGCCCCATTCACACCTTTCTGCCCTGGTCTTATTCCATGACACTTCCTCACATCCTCAGTTTCAACACTGATGCCAGACTCACCACACTATTTGATCCTTACAGATGGAATATCCTTCCCTGAGCTGGTTCACAAGATTATACTTCTCTATAAACAACACCCCCTTGTGGCCTGGGGTGACCCTGCAGGCACCTTCCTCAGTTTCCCCAGAATAATGTGGTCACAGTCAGTCTTTGAAACAATATTTCCCTTCTCCTGGGATCTAATTCAGTATAATTCATCTCCTACAAAGATTCCTTTGTGCCCACCCCTCAGGTTGAAAAGTCCTCTGCCTTGGGACTGTGGCTTTAAATTTCTGGCCTTCCTGAGCTGTGAGTCACCCTTGAAGGCTAGGGTCTCACAGTCCTTCCTTCCTGGGGCTGTGTGCAGCAGCTCAGACCCCCTCAGATCTAGGCATGGGCTGAGTTAGTCACATGACCAAAATCATTTTCCCACCTGGGGAGGCAAATTAGGCTTGTCGCAGTTGGATTGGGGCCCATCTGCCCTTAAAGCCCAGCTACCCTGTGTAACTGTCCATATCTACATCTCTCCTGGAGACCCACCCCCAGCATGATGCCAACATGAAACTAGCTAATTATATCAAAACATGAGGGAGTCTACTTTGGTGTTCCCTCTGACTTTTGTTTTTAAATGCATGCAGAATGACATGCTGAGTTCAAGTTTAATAATTATGAATGTAGTCCCTTTATCCTCATTTGATTTGTTATTCTTCTCATTCCATCTCCTTCAGTCTCATTCCACAAATTCCATCCAGCTATTGTCATTCACTCTCTCTCTCAATCCATCTTCCATTCTTATTTACTCCATCTCTGTCATTCACTCACTCACTCTTTTTACACTCTCTCCCAATCTAGTTCCCAATTCTCTCTTCTTCTTCTCCCCTTCTTTCCTATCTCACATTCTCTCTGTCCATATCTCTCTCTCTTCCCCATTATTCCTCCTCCTCATCCAAATCAGTAACTGCGGTCTCTGTCTCCTCCTCTCAACCATATACTACTGCTATCTTCCCATCCAAAAATCATGCAGTGCCTTCAACCCCCAAATCAATGGCTTCTGCTCCTCAGGCCAAGATGGGCCCTGCTGCTGCTGCTCACTTGGGCAGCAGGAAGCCCTCTGCTTGGGAGGTAGGTAAGGATATCTAGATTTTCATCTCCGCCTTCCTTTTTTCAGGTTTAGGAAGGCAGGGGGGTCTGCAGAGGTCTTTACTCCCCCTCAGCCATAGGGGATGGTCACAAGGATCTTCAATCTCTTCCCACTATTCAGGGCTCAGGGAGAGGGGGTTGTTTCCAGTCTTCTCTTCTTCCCATTCCCAAGCCTGAGGAGATAGTCCTGAGGTCTGCAGTTTCCTTATTCCCAAGCCTGGGAAGGGAAGCTAAGTAGGAATCTTAATTCTGACTTCCCCCTAGCCAAGAGCAGCAGAAGTGACCATGGAAGAGGCAGCGGGAGGGAGAATCCAGAGCCCACTTGCCAGGAGTCAGTACAGGAGGAAATGGGAGAGCTTGGAGGCAGATGCCATCCTAGGTAAGAAGTTCCCACACAGACCATGCCCATGAGCTGTGCAGGTAATGGGGAATCTTGGTCTACAACTGTTAAGGCTGATTCCCCACTCTGGCACTTTGAGTGCAGAAGATGGGCACCCGCAAGGATTCTAAACATTAATACCGGCTAATCCATGCTTGTCTTAAACTCCCAAGGTTACAGCTTTTCTCTGAGCTTGGATGGATAGATGCTGCCACCACCCAAGTGCAAAAACCCCTTTGAGAACCCAGGAAGGTGTACTTGGGAATTCTTTCCTGTGGAGTACCTTCAAGCCCTTTCACCCCCCCCTCCGGGAGGCGCTGAGAAAGAAAACAAAGGCAATCAGCTGTGGCCACCAGCTAATTAAACAACATGTGCACAAACATCTTAGGACACAAAATTCAATCCTGTTCTTAAAAAAAGTAAATTTTATTGAAAACAAAAAGAAAGAAAATATATTGAAAACCCAGGCTATTGCTAGATTTAAAAACCCACTTACAAAAATTCAACATCAAGAATGACCTTCTTGAGGTCCAACTTAAAGGTTACAAGCAAAACAAAAGCATTTGGGGTTAACACAGAGGAGTCCACAGGCACTGACTTCTGCTGGCGCTGGTGGGTGCTCAACCCCCCCCAGCCCCGCCCTGACTCCACCCCGCCCTCATTCCAGCCCCTTCCCTTAAGTACCCGTCCCAATTCCGCCCCCTCTCTGCTCCTATTCCAACCCTTCCTCAAATCCCCACCCCGGCCCTGCCTCCTCCCCTGACCGCGCCGTGTCCCCGCTCCTCCCCCATCCCTCCCAGAGCTTGTTACGCCGCGAAACAGCTGTTTCGCAGCAGCAAGCGCTGGGAGGAGAAGCTGGGACACGGCGCACTCAGGGGAGGAGGCGGAGGTGAGGTGAGTTGGGGCAAGGGGAGTGGGCTTGGCTGCCGGTGGGTGCAGAGCACCCACCAATTTTTCCCCATGGGTGCTCCAGCCCTGGACAAATACATAGCTGGAATCAGTCTGGCTCACCTGGTTGTCAGTATTGTTAAATAGGTATCAGCATTATAATAATGTGTTAAGTCATTATTGAATGCTTGTGAGTTGCTGCATGCATTAATCTCATTTATAACATCAGTATCCCTTACTGTAAGGTGTGGTTTGAGTGGTTGCGTTGTGAGCCTCTGTGACTCTGTCAATTGCCAGACAGGAGAGACATACATTAATTAGTGTGTAGGAATGATAATCAACAGAAGGCGTTACGTCCTTCCAAACAGGTAAGCTCCATCAACACCAGACAGTCTATTGTCGGATGTTGTAGTTCTGCTCTCCTCCCCTCCAACCCCAAAAATGAATTGTGCAAGTGGATTCCTCCCATCTGCTGAGTTTGCAGTTCAGAGCACATGCCTGGAGTGGGATAAAAACCTCAAACAAAAGGAACTAAAGAGTTCTATGTTGCTTGCATTCTGGGGGCAAGAGATATCCAGCTGTTTAGACTGGGTTAGCCCTAAAGAATATATAGAACTTGTTGGTTATAGAAGCTTCTATTACCTTTTGAAACTTAATATTGTAACTCATTTGTGCATCTATGTTTCCATGCTTTAACTTTGTAAATAACTCTCTTGTTTTCTTTTCCTATTTAATAAACCTTCTTACAGTTTATGATATGATTGGCTACAAATGTTGTCTTTTGTGTGAAAGCTAAGTTGCAATTGACCTGGGATAAGTTACTGGCCCTTTGGGACTGGGAGTAACCTGAATATTTGCCATGATTCTTTGTCTAAGGGATCATCTTTCACAAAGGTACACTCACTGGGGTGGCAGCATAGGGAATATCCACGGGGACTGCATGTGGCGCCATGTTTAGGCTGTTACAGTGCCTGAGGAGTTTACACTTGACAATTGGTTGGTGACATCTAAGTTTAGAACTCCCAACCAATTTGGGGTTTGTGCCCTACTTCCTAACAGTCTGCCCTGATGGTGACACTCATGTTCTTGAGTCACTGTAGGCAGCTTTACAACAGCTTTGTTGATGTTCTTATTAATGAATGGATGCTTTGGGCTGTCCGGTTGGCCTGTTGCTCTGAACCCAAGCTCACCTCCCTGGTTCTTCACTGGAGTTTCTCAGGACAGCAGATCTGTATGGGCATCTCATATCACTCTGCTGGTGCCATGAAGTGCAGCTGATTTCAGAATCAGGTGAAAAGCCAAGAGAAAGAGAGAGACCAGGAGAAAAATGTGGGGTAGAAAGGAGCACACGAGGAAGGGAAAACTGAACAAGTTCTCACAGGTATGAAGTTTGGGTCCTCGCTGGTGCAGTGATAATGGTCAAGTGTCCCCACTGGAGTATCAAGTTCTGGTGTCACAGCAACAATCCTTCCACTGTAGCCACGGTGATGATAAAAATTTCTTTCTTCCCCACCCAAGTCTCTTTCTAAGTACCCCAAAAAGTGAATGAGTGAAATAATCCATCCTCTTATTATTTGTCCACCAACTAGGCCTAATTTCTGACACACCAATTTGGGCTCTGCTCTGCTCCATTTGTTTACCAGTCATAATCTTAACACAGTCCTGAAGTGGTATCAGTAGACCTTTTCTGTTTAAATTAATTCAGTCTCTGTCTCCTCAGACCTTTTCTTAAACAGTTGTATATAACAGATTATTGTGACAATTCATACAACTTTGGCCACTTTTTACCAGTTAGGCTAACAATTAACAATGGCCTGCCAGGCCTCAGTTATTACAACACTGCTTTTTTAATGCATGGCATCAAGATTTCTAGGAACTAAGCCAAGGAGGATGGTTATCTGGGAACTGCATCACTGCTAAACTGTGTGCCTGAATGCAGTGAAGAAGTCTGAAGACCTGGAAGAGCAGTAGGGACTTTTCCCTGGGTCGGTAAATCACCAGAGGTTGTTTTAAAAATACTAGTTGCAATGTGGGAATTTATTTCTCTCCTTTAGGATATTACCTGATTTGAAACCACTATTATTCCTTCCTCTTCTTTTATCACTGTTAACTGTTTCATAGAAATGGAAACAATGTTACCACTGGCTACCAAAAACTGAGATAATTTGCTAAGTATTATTTTGTAACCTAGCAATGGTAGCATTTCTGTTCCTCCAGAGAAAAATCTTGAGAGCAAGTCTTTCAGCCACAAGAAACCAATCGACTGTTCCTAACTCCAACTGCCATGGAACTGTCCAGTACCAAATTCTGTTCCTTGCATTAAAGAAGCATCATCCCACTCTTCATGCTGTTTGATTACCCGAGGTGAGGAAAAAATCATTGTATTGTACCTAGATGAAATACACTTTTTTTTTTACACAATACATAATTAACCTGTGGATTTCAGGGGCACAGGATAATCAGAGTCCAACAGCAACAGAGGGTCCTGTGGCACCTTTAAGACTAACAGAAGTATTGGGAGCATAAGCTTTCGTGGATAAGAACCTCACTTCTTCAGATGCAAGTCTTCAGCTGGCTAAAGAAGGAGCCTCTCCACCCGCCCCAGGCTACTTGAAGGAGACTGAAACAAAGGACAGTAACTACAGGGGGTGTAAGTGATTGCTGGACCCAGGCTAAAAGGAGATTAGCCTGTAAAAGGGAGTGCTCTGGAACTGGTGAGGAAATTATCTGTATTTAGTTTGATTAGATATAGATTTGCGCATTTTATTTTATTTTGCTTGGTGACTTACTTTGTTCTGTCTGTTACTACTTTGAACCACTTAAATCCTACTGTCTGTATTTAATAAAATCACTTTTTATTTATTAATTTACTCAGAGTATATATTAATACCTGAGGGAGCAAACAACTGTGCATATCTCTCTATTATTTGCCCTGCATAAGCTTTATGCAGGGCAAACTTTATGCAGGGTAAAACGGATTTATTTGGGTTTAGACCCCATTGGGAGTTGGGCATCTGAGTGCTAGAGACAAGCACACTTCTGTGAGCAATTTTAAGGTAAACTTGCAGCTTTGGGACAAGTGATTCAGACCCTGGGTCTGTGCTGCAGCAGACGGGAGTGTCTCAGCAAGACAGGGTGCTGGAGTCCTGAGCTGGCAGGGAAACAGGAGTAGAGGTAGTCTTTTGCACATCAGGTGGCAGCTCCAAGGGGGTTTCTGTGATCCAACCCGTCACAGTGGCATCTGAAAAGTGAGGTTCTTACCCACGAAAGCTTATGCTCCCAATACTTCTGTTACTCTTAAAGGTGCCACAGGACCCTCTGTTGCTTTTTACAGATTCAGACTAACACGGCTACCCCTCTGATACCAGTTTAGCAGAATTAAACATTTATAAGGAAAATGAGAACATTCACAGTTACATTATGTTAAAAAAGGATAGGCACCCACATGTTTCAGGTCATAAACCATCTACTGCTGGGAATTAGGAAGAAGCATCCCCTGGGGCAAGTTAATGTATTACACAGATTCTTGCCCTTCTCATTGTAAGTTACAAAGTATTGACTAAATAGATGACTGGTCTGACCAGGTATATGGCAATTCATATGTTCTGAAACGTGGTTCCATCAGGACCGTAACAGTATTTTAAATATAGCGCCAAATTTAAACAATTTGGGAACATGTTTAAAACAAACTTAAATCCTGTCTTGGCAACAAGATGAAACTGTTTCAGACATTTAGGGGAATTCCTGTGTTGTATTCTGGTCCCTCAGCAAGATTAATCTGTAGTGCAGAATTTTAAATGATTTAAAAATTAGTATTTAGTTCATTTTACGTATGAGATTTTTTTTTTAATTTGATGTTGGCCGATCAATTACTGTGTGCAGTTCTCCTCTTCTAGCAAGTTACTAAATATAAATGTTGACCATCCTGCTGTCTCATGCACTGCCCAACCTGTTGCACTGTATGCTTCATTCAAGGGCCATTTGGAAATAATTGTATGGGATGATGTAATTAAAGATTGCCACATAAGGGGCAAAATTAAGGTTGCCTGTATAGTGTTAACTTTGGTGTTTCCTGAATTTTAAGTGCTTAACTGTACAACTTTAATGTTCTTTGAATATATTTTGAAATAAATTTCCTTCTCTTCCCATTCCCGCCCCCTCCTGAAAATCTATATATATTAAAAAAAAGGTTCCATAAGGTGGTGGAACAGAGGAATAGGGACAGTTTTAAGGATATGTTTAAGTACTTTGCTGAATCAGGTCCTAAGTGATATCTTTTGTGCACCGAGGACCTAATTTTACAACCCTCACTCACTCTGGGTAGTACTTACCTACAATAATAGTCCTACTGAAATGAATGGTACTGCTAGCATGAGCAAGTGTTGGGGAATTAATGCAGGGCTTCTCTGTACCTTCAAAGATGATGTGGTGTATGGCAGCATGGTGTTTTATGAGGGTTTGTAGGCCATTTCCAAAGTAGGTTGGGTAGATGTGAGGAAATCTCTGGTCTATAAGTGGCAGCTGGGCAGGACTATAAGTGGTTGGGTATGTTTTTTTTTTTTAAATATGCAGTATAGTAATGTAACTTTATTTAAGAGATTATATGAGCAGTGAAGATGATATAATATTGTCCATCTATCAAGAGAGTGTCTTTTAGACTTGGTTGGCTAATGTATGCACAGAAATCCATATGTGGACTCTTAAATACCCATTTTATGCATCTGTGTGCTAATTTGGGTGCTTAAAATAGGTATTTAAGTGCCTACATATGGACGTAGGAGTGTAATTTTTGGCATCTATGATTGAAAATTGAGCAGCACAGCAAGTAACAGTAATGCTTTCAAACCTTGCAGGTCATTTAAAATGACTCTTGTAGGAAGAGTCCTTTTTAAGCTGGGATCTATCACTGGCCATGCTCTCAATCACCTTTTCTCCCTACATTTTCTGACTCTAAAGAACCTGTCAGTCAGAGCAGGGAGGAACTTACACTGACTTGTGTTTGTGTAGTAGCTAGAAGGCAAACAGCAGCTGTGGTTTGTTTTGAAAAAACAAGGGGGGGTCACTTCTGCCCTTTCTTTTATATTGCAAAGATGATGGGAGAACTACCCTTTTTCCCTTTGGAAAGCTGAATTTAGAAATTCAGAAGCCACAGCACTCTTCATCATAATATATCCCTTGGTAATATATCCAGTGATATAGTAATATTTCTCATTGGAGACTGATTTAGGGGCTTTTCTTTTAATAATTGCTTTACAAACCACAGGAATAGTTTTGCCTTTTTATTTTCCTTTTACTTTGGACTTCTGTTAATGTTAGCCTTTTCCTTTGTGTGCGTGTGTGTGTGTGTGGGGGGGGGAGTGCTGTCTTTTAATTGTGAAAGATGCCAACTATCTATATAGTTTTCTATTGTTGAAGTGGAGGAAATGGAATTAGGGAATTTGGAATATGTAGTAGAGAGAATATGCCGTACTCATTTAAACATTAAATTCAGATATCATTAAAAATAGCTGTCATTGTTCAGATAACTAAATGAAGCATCTCTGGAGGATGGCAGGAGTTAAGGACCAGGAATGGGACTCAGAAAATGTGGTTTCTATTCCCAACTCTTCCACAAACTTTACATATGACCTTTAATAACTGACTTAGATTCTTTTAAACAGATTCTTTTTCCCTATCACAAAAACTGTGATAATTGCACATACTTCACAGGATTGTCTTCCTTCAAATCCCTCCTTTGCCATAGTGCCTACAGAAAACTTAACAGATAGGCAGCTGATTTGTGGATACCATCAGCATTGTCTTCTAAGGCTTCCTACTTCTCTGTTGTCTTTTGCCTTGTAATTTGATTGTTAGGTCTTTGGAGCACAGACCATCTTTTTGCTGTGTGTGTGTACAGTGCCTAACATATTGGGGTCCACATCCAAGACTGAGTCTCCTACATGCTACCGCAATACAAATAATAGTTGTGTGTGTCCCATGACTGACTTGGTCATAGGGGCACCAATCCAACAGGCAGTGCTTTTATCCTGGTGGTGTCTGTCTCTGTTCCAGTATCCCTGTGAGATAGGAAAGCAATATAATCCCCATTTTAGAGTTGGGAAACTGAGCCACAGAAAGGCTAAGTGATTTTGCCCAAGGTCCCACAGGTAGTTCATGTTGACATAGGGAATTTAACCTGGGTCTCCCACATTCCAGGTCAGTGCTTCAACCACTTGGCCATCCTTTCTCCCCATAAGTAATTGTTCAGAAGCTTCATTTGCTAGAATAATTAACAAAACAGTCAATGGACTTGCTTCACCTCTGTGAGCTTGTATGTACCTACTACCTCGCATTCCTTTATTTGTGGCCTCCCATTTACTTGTGCTTTTCCTACATTCATCTGGAATCATCTTCGAAACACTGAGTCACATCACTTCTCTTCAAATTTCACTTTAAAAATGTTGAACTAAATCTCACCAGTCCTACTCAATCTTATTCAGTCCTTATTTAGGCAAACCCCCATTGGCTGCAGGATTTGGCCCTTCATGTTTCCTTTAACACATTCTGAACCATAAATTCTACCCTTTATGACATCTTACTGATTTTACATTTCATATTTTCCTATAATATGCCCCTTTTACTATGCCCCATTTTACTTTTGGACAATACATCATGAGTTATAGGAACCAGTTTATGCCAGACACCCCTGACTACATTCTGGATGCTAGAATTTTAACCAGTTACTGATGGACAGTTCTTCTGGGGGAATCTCAGCAATCTATCTGATGTAGGAGTTTTTCCTAGATTGTATATTTCTTTGAACTTTAAATAAAATCATGAAGAAGTTTTCTGATGGTTAATCTTCCACTTTATACATGGGGATCACAGTCAGTGCATGTTTGCTTGTGTACAATACCTGACTTGTCCAGCTGCATCCGATCTTATTGTTGTTTACTCTTGTCAGTAGTCTCACATCATAGCAGTTCTATTCCCCAGTGGTCTGATGGTAGATACATTCACATGGCAGATGAGGGATGTTCACTAACATCACAGTGGGTAATGGCAACCACAGGCAGCAGAGTTGTTGGCCTGTAAGCAAGGAAATAATTACAGTAGTCTTCCTGTCATTAGCACTGCTACTATGTTACTGAACTCTGTTTTGTAGTACATTAGACTAATTAACATTAAATATCATTATACAGTGGATTGGCTTGATGTAAGGGTAGCTAGACAGTTCTTAATCCTCTCTCTCATACATCACAAGAATAACAAAACAAAAAAACCTCTGACCTCAATACACTGTGTAGCTTGAAAAAAATGCCAAAGTCAAGATTCTGGACAGGGACACAATGGCCCATACAGAAACGGTGTCTTACATCATGAGGTTAATGAGATTGTATTCAGATAGAAAATTAACAATATTTTGCTTTCTCCCCACTATCAACAGAATCCCAGCATGCCAGTGATTCTGAGGATGATGCATCTTTATCTAACACCTCTTATGATGCACTTGCCCTTGGACCAGCCAGATGTTGAAAACAGTCCACAAGGGCTTCCAAGGATGTTAGTAGGAAGCAGAATAAAGGAGATGCTTCTGGAGTCCATTTCAGGCCTTGATGAATTATGAAGATGACAGAACGTTAGTTTTCCTGGGGAGGCAGGAGGCTATAAAACAAAAGGAGGAGAAAGGTCAAGAAAGAGATTAATGTAAAGAGATAGAAACAGTGCAGCACGAGGAGATGGAGGCCCGGGATAGGAGATGGAGTAACAGTGTGAGACATAGACTAATGTGATGCAAAATATAATGATGATATTACTATAATTTGCTCCCAGATGGCAGGGAGTGATCTCAGATGAACTCTAACTCCAGTTCTTATCACTGCCACGACATATTTAATGGCAGTGATTTTCATGTCCTCTCTTTTCTTCCAGAGATCTAAAGCACCTTACAAAAGAGGTGTCAGTATCATTATCCCGATTTTACAGATGGAGAAACTGAGGCACAACAAGATGAAGTGATTTGCCCAATTCCACCCAAAAATATAACTCAGGTCCCTTGAGCCCCAAGTTCAGTGTTCTATTTATTAGGCCACATTGCCTCTCTTGTATAATATAAAACATTTTTTTAAAGTCACAATTGAAAAATGATTTAGTTGAAATAAAACATTTCAATTAACTCAAAATATTTTTTCTTAATTTTCCTTTGCAGAAAATTTAAAAATTTTCGGGTTTTGTTCAGATTCAAAACAAAGCCAATTTTTCAATTTTTTGTGTGAAACAGCATCTGTCTTCTGCACACCTCTAATGTGTTTGTTTTCTCATAACAAAAATGACTCTTCTACTATAGCTATAGAAAATCTTTCATTATGTATAGCATCAACAACAATTTTCTTTTTAAATTCCAGTAATAATATGCACAGTGAAAGCAATAAGGATGTACAAAATTGACCCTCTTGGAAATAAAAAACATCTTGAATCTCATAGATACTGTAAGGTATTGGAGTTTATAAGTACAGAGAGTAAAAACTCAGAGATATCTTATAGGCCATATAAATAAAGTCTTACATCATTAACTGAGTGTTTTATATTGCTACCACTAGACCAGTCAGTTTTAGTTGCTGATTGACACAGAGGGGAAAATTTATCTTCAGTGAACCCTTTTGTTGCTCAATGTAATTACACCAGCAATGATTTTGGCCCAATATATTTGGGATAGGTGTTTCCTTAATTCTGGTTCAATGGAAAATGTCATTATTCAATGATATCTTACTGAAATTCACTCTGTCATATATTGTACGGTGCATGTAGTCATCTGGTGTAAATACTCTGGACTATAATATAAACATGTAGGAAACATGTAAGGTGATAGGGAACAGCCAGCATGGATTTGTGAAGAACAAATCATGTAAAACCAATCTGATAGCTTTCTTTGATAGGATAACGAGCCTTGTGGATAAGGGAGAAGCTGTGGATGTGGTATACCTAGACTTTAGTAAGGCATTTGATACAGTCTCGCATGCTATTCTTATCGATAAACTAGGCAAATACAATTTAGATGGGGCTACTATAAGGTGGGTGCATAACTGGCTGGATAACCGTACTCAGAGAGTTGTTATTAATGGTTCCCAATCCTGCTGGAAAGGCATAACGAGTGGGGTTCCGCAGGGGTCTGTTTTGGGACCGGCGCTGTTCAA